TATAATTAACTGGAAACCCGTGGGATATTTGACCCTTACTAGCATGCATTTAGAGAAGGGTGAAGGAAAAAATTTGAATTTATATTGTTATTTTATAATATCTAATTTCCGTAAGTCAAATGTTTACTCTCTTCTAATAGGCACACAACTTGTATATAATCATGATATAAGTCTAGTATTTAAAAGGTTTGGGTTGGGGGCACCTGGGTGACTCAGTGGATTAAGCATCAGCCTTTCACTTAGGTCTTGATTGCAGGGTTTCGAGATTGAGCCCCGCATCGAGCCCCGCATCGGGTTCTCTGCTCAGCAGGTGTCTGCTTCCCTCTTTCCCTCTGCCTCCCCCCCCCCCCCCAACTTATGCGCTCTCTCTCTCAAGTGAATAAATAAAATCTTTTAAAAAGAAAAACTGTGAGAGCACCTGGGTGGCTCAGTCAGTTAAATGTCTGCCTTTGGTTCAGATCATGATCCCAGGGTCTTGGGATCGAGGCCTGGGTCAGGCTCTCTGCTCAGCTGGGAGTCTGCTTCTTTCTCTCCTTCTGCCTACCTGCTTGGGCTCTCTCTCTCTCTGTCAAATAAATAAATAAAATTTTTAAAAAATGTATTTAAAAGATTTGGGTTGGGAGGCACCTGGCTGGTTCATTTGGTGGAACATGTGACTCTTGATCTCAAGGTTGTGTGTTTGAGCCCCATGTTGGCTGTAGAGATTACATTAAAAAAAATTTAAAAATAAAATAAATGTGATGTAGTGAGCACTGGAGATTATGTAAGACGTGTGAATCTCTGAAGTCTATCTCTGACACTGATAATACACTATATGTTAATTAATTTAATTTAAATTAAAAAATAGTAAAAGAATAAATAAAAGTTTTGGGTTGGATTTTATTCAAAATAGGGAATAATTCTTTTAAAGTATTGGGTATATTTTTATACATCATTTTAAAGTACTTCATATTTATACATGACCTTAGCGTAACTGATAAAATGTTTAAATAATAAAGTAATGAGGATAAAAGTTGTGGTTAACTTCAAAAATACCAGCTTCTGTATGCTTTTGCTATTTCAATTGGCTGCTTCCTATAAGTTAGAAGAACTCGGTACTGTTTGTGTCTCAGGAACCATAGGCGTAAGATGTGTATATTCATGTTTCTTCAGTATAAATCACTTTTTTTTTTTAAAGATTTTATTTATTTATTTGAGAGAGAGAGATCACAAGTAGGCAGAGAGGCAGGCAGAGAGAGAGGAAGGGAAGCAGGCTCCCCGCTGAGCAGAGAGCCCGATGCGGGACTCGATCCCAGGACCCTGAGATCATGACCTGAGCCGAAGGCAGCGGCTCAACCCACTGAGCCACCCAGGCGCCCCAGTATAAATCACTTTTAATGGTAATTAACATGGGTATTTAGAATCTCTAAGTCCCCTTAGAATCTAATGGGATTCTGGTTTTTTCAAATATGAAAAATTTCTAAATAAACTAACCTTTATATTTGTCAAAATTCCTTGAGACCCAAATTCATCTAGACTGTGCTTGATTCGCAATTATGGCCGTCATCCTTGCTGATTCGGCACCCGTAATAACAAGCTGCAGTAATGAAAGCAGATCTGTGTTACTTGCACTGCTGAGTCTCCTTCTGAATCAGGTTACTTGGAATTCTGTGCCTTTAGGGAATCGTTTGTTTTTGCAGATTGATTAATGCATCAGGAACTTGGCTTCACGTAATCGTCACTAAACAAATATCCTGACACCTTTTCTATGGGAATTATCAGAGCTCTAAAATTAGTTTAAAATTGGGCATATATAAAAAGTCCCAGCAGTATTTTTTTGGTTTTAGTTCAGGAAAATGCAAACATGCAGCTCTTAGTAGAACAATCTTGAGCAGCCAATTTGACCTCGCCAGGCAGCTCTGAGCAGATCACTGGGGTTACCAACCCAAGCACCATCCGGCTCATGTGGCTGTGAGTCATGAATCATTGGCCTGATCTTCAGAGACTGTGTCTGAGCCATTTAGACTTCACATTGACCACCTGGAGAGCATTTTGGCCATAGCTAGTAAAGTTGATCATTTTACTTTACTACTACCCAGCAATTCCATTCCTGGGGTATACCCGGTGTAGCTCTGGTACTGAGGCACAAGGAACCCCAAGCGAGGATTGTCATTGCCACGTCACAATAGTGAAAAAGTGCAAATAACCTAAATGTCTTTCAGCAAGAGAATAGGTAAGTGGGAATGAGATAGTCATGGAATGGAATATTCATCACTAGTGACATGAATGAATGGTACTTCATGTGTCATGGATAAGAATCATATATCATGGGGATACCTGGGTGGCTCATTCTGTTGAGTGTCTGACTTGGGCTTATTTAGGTCATGATCCCAGGGTCCTGGGATCAAGTCCCACTTCTGGCTCCTTGCTCACTGGAGAGCCTGCTTCTCCTTCTGCCTGCTGCTCCCCCTGCTTGTGTTCTATCTGTCTCTGTCTCTGTCTCTCTCTGACATATAAATAAATGAAATCTTTTTAAAAAATTGTATATCATGGATAAATATCAGACAGATAGCACTGAACAACATTAGCAAGTTTTAGAACGATATTGTTGAAAACAATATAGATTTTGTCAGTACCTACATGTGTAATGGTATTATAAAAATGCATGGGAATGATGGACAGTGGAGACAGGGTAGGGGTCAGTCATGGGGAGGGACAAAGTGGAGGAAGGGGAGAGGTGTACAGGGAGTTTCAAGTGTTTGGCAATGTTTTATTTTTAAACTCTTTTAACACATTCACTCATTCATTTATTTATTTATTTTAAACATTTTTTAAATTTAATTTTATTTTTTCAGTGTTCCAGGATTCATTGTTTATGCACCTCACCCAGTGCTCCATGCAATACATGCCCTCCTTAATACCCACCACTAGGCTAACCCATCACCCCACAAAAACCCTCAGTTTGTTTCTCAGAGTCCACAGTCTCTCATGGTTTGTCTGCCCCTCCGATTTCCCCCAACTTACTTCTCTGCTCCATCTCCCCATGTCTTCCATGTTATTCCTTATGCTCCACAAGTAAGTGAAACCATATGATGATTGACTCTCTCTGCTTGACTTATTTCACTCAGCATAATCTCCTTCAGTCCTGTGCATGTTGATACAAAAGTTGGGTATTCATCCTTTCCGATGGCTGTGTAATATTCCATTGTATATATGGACCATATCTTCTTCATCCATAAACATTTTTAAACACTTAAACATTTTTGGTTTACCCAAAGCAGATTTGAGAGCTTGGTAGTGGATAAAGGGATCTCTATTATATTACTCTCTATATCTTTCTTTCTTTATATTCAGAATAGTCCACAAATTTTAAAAAGGTAGTGAATTTAAAGCCAAATAAAAATGCTCTTGGTATAATTTTTTTTTTTTTATTTGTCAGAAAGAGAGGGAGAGAGAGCAAGCACAGGCAGACAGAATGGCAGGCAGAGACAGAGGGAGAAGCAGGCTCCCCGCCAAGCAAGGAGCCCAATGTGGGACTCGATCCCAGGACGCTGGGATCATGACCCGAGCCGAAGGCAGCTGCTCAACGAACTGAGCCACCCAGGCGTCCCTCTTGGCATAATTTTTAAAACCACATTTGACCTATACCGTATCCCCAGAATTACTATGGAAAAAGAGTTATTTTACTTTGTTCCAACAAATATTTGTTGAATGTCCAGCAGATGCAGGGTTCTGGAATTTTGTTGAGGTTAGGCTGGAGAAGCAAGCAGACTCAGCTCTGCCTTCATAGGACTCAGAGTCTCCCAGGTAGACAGGTGTGGGACAGGTAAGGAAGCAGGTCCTGGTGGGAAAAGTCCCCGAGACAGACAAGGTCAGGATGGGCACCACCCAGAAGACAGCATGCTAGCTGGCTTGACAGTTCTGCTCAGCCCGATTGTAGTCTCAGTCTCCCACACAGACTGGGAAATGGGAGGGAGAAGGGTTGGCAGGAAGGCTCTCACTGAAAGGTCAAGAGGTGGAGACCAACCGCTGGGCAGGAGGACAAGATGGGCTGTGAGGGCGCAGGAGTTACGAGGTAGAGAAGGGAGGAGGCAGAAGGAAATACAGGGATAGAGGGCAGGGCTGAGCTCAATGTCCAGCTGCTGAAAGAGGCTGGATCACCTACTACCCCAGCTCCATATCTGTGGGGAGGCCAAGTGCTAGAAGCTCAGCTTCTCCATGCCTTGCTCACCGCAAACTCTGGCCCACCTGGGCTTGGCCTGATAGTAGGAGAAGACATGATGAGAAGCTCAGGGCCCTCTGAGCAACGGCCCAGCTATAGCAGCTCCTGCAGTACCATAAGGGACAACCTCAAGCACACTCAGAAGTCGGACTAGTCTTGGTGAGGGAGCATTTCCAGGTCCTTGGTGAGGGAGCATTTCTGGGTCCTCTGCTGCTTGTTGGCCTTCTTACCAAATAAGAAGTCTCTGGCACATTTCAGTCCAACACAACTGGAAGGGTGGTTTCTTCAACGCCGTCTAGGTCCAAGCTTCGTAAAGGCCTGGGGCTTCCCAGGCTTCTCTGTGTCAAGCCTGCTCATGCCGTGTTCCCTAGGTTCCCTGGGGCCCATTGGGTGGCAGAGAAGCCCTTTCCCTGTAACTGTGGGTGTCCACAGAAAGAACCTGACAGTACTCAAGAGGCAGCGTGGACAGAGGTATTTGAGTGAGGAAACTGGGCCCACTTGACCTGCCTTGAAGCCCACTTCTGCCATGAACTAGCTGGGTCACCTTGGGCAGGACACTTACCCTTTCTGGTGCTTTGTTTGCCTTGTCTGTAAGTGGGGATGATCACAACACCAACTCACGGGATTCAAGGAGTTAATGTTTGGGACATGTGTGTGACGGGAGGCACCCAGGAGTTACTCTAGCTGCTGTGTCAGCCTTCACTGTTGTGGTTGTTTATTATGTAACTTGAGTGTCTATTCCTTGCGATCAAAAGAACTTATTATCAAGAAAACTTTTTTTTCCTTTTTTTGTTTACAGCAAAAAATATGTTATCCCTTTGCAGTGCAGCTGCCCTGTAGATTTCGAGTTTCATATCACTTTGATTCAGTCTCATGAAGCCTTTACTATTGATCCAATATCAGGTAAGGGGAGTCAAGATTTCAAGTTTCTAATTTCCTTAGGGTTCTCAGATCAAAGGGATTTGGAGAGTTGGTCTCAAGGTCTAAAAGAGAATAAGCTGCACTTGAACATGGTATCTTCACATGTGTAACAGTAACAGATTTGACGTGTCTGACATATTGTAAATTGGGATTGGACACGTGAGAATGAGGACACTTTGGAATCATTTGTATTGTGCAGATAATTTATAACAGTGTCCAAGTAAATTTCTTCCAAGATCAAAACTTGAAATCGGAAGTTAATCCTTTCCTCTTCTAATTTTGGCCCTTGGTTTATCCTTGGGGTATCCGTTTCACTCAATTTCTGATAAAATGGGAATTGCATCTCTTACCAAGATTTTGGGATGTTATTGAAGGCTGTCATGAATTTACTATACACATGGTGTGGACAATCTGCCTTTTCCTGCCCCAAAGGGCATAGATCTTTGTTCTGCTCAGAACTTTTGAAAAAAAAAAAAACTCCTCTAAAGCAATTACTGCTTCCAGTTTCTGTCTCTTTTGATGTTTGGGTGTGGGCTTTAAATATCCATCCACAGTGTTCTGCTGTGAACACTAAAATAGCTTTATTCTTGAATGTCTGGGTATCCACTAATCTCCTGATTTTGAGTGCATATATGAGTGTTCAAAGCAGAAATTTTGAATAACTTCTAAATTATGAGATGTATATAGATTATTTCCTAGAGAACCAGGAGCAATTCTAAGATTTCTGAAATGCAATGTAGCTTATTATTTATATTGCAAAAAGCAAAACAAAAACAGTACTTGATTCTCTTTCCAGAGAGAAGCTTTATTACTTTTAGGCTTTAAAGAGGAGAGAGAATAAGTGGTTACCAAAATTATACTAAACAAGATTATATTTCTGCTTTTAATTATAGTCGGTGTTCTTGCTGTAGGCCTTTTGGTAGAATAATAATAGTAGCACTTACTTAGTGACTGTTATGTGCCAGGCACTGTTCCAGGTGACAGATATAGATATATTTGATATATGTTGAAGTACCTGTATATTTAATCTAACCACAACCATGTAAGGTTGGTATAATTATTATTTCCATTTTATGGACATAGAAATGAAGCACCAGGGACACTTGGGAGTAAGAGGCAGAGGTAGGATTTGAAACCAGTGATTCTGGTTCGGAAGCTGGTGCACTGCCTCATAAAATACAAACTGAATTTCCACCTTCACTCTGAAGAGGTTATAAGAATTTGACCTATGATGGGGGACGCCGGGGTGGCTCAGTCATTAAGCAACTGCCTTTGGCTCAGGTCATGATCCCAGGGTCCTGGGTCTGAGCCCCATATCGGGCTCTCTGTTCGGCAGGAAGCCTGCTTCTCCCTCTCCCACTCCCCCTGCTTGTCTTTCCTTTCTCACTGGCTCTCTCTCTCTGTGTCAAATAAACAAATATTTAAAAAAAAAAAAAAAAAAAAAAGAATTTGACCTATGAGGTAAGTTGGTAAAGTGAGCTAGCTCCTGTGATCTTAGTCTAGACTCTACTTGAGAGATGACGGCAAGACAGAGGAGGGACTCCTGTCCCTCCCTGGGCCATCAGACCACACTGGACCTCTGGGGATGTCCCTGAAAGCCAGGTGCTAAGACAGATCCAGATAAACCGGGGAAAGAGCATCAGGTCAGTGTAGGAATGGGGAGAAGAAAAAGGCACTGGAGACAGGCCAGCTGTGTCAGTAACAAGAATCACTATGGTGTAGGGGCACCTGGGTGGCTCAGTCAATTAAGTGTCTGCCTTCAGTTCCGGTCGTGATCCCGGAGTTCCAAGATCGATCCCTGCATCAAGTTCCCTGTATCTTTCTTGCTCTGCCTTTCACTCTGCTCATTCTCTCTCTCTCTCTCTCTCTCTCTCTCTCTCTCTTGCTCTCTCATTTTCAAATAAATAAATAAAATCTTTTAAAAAATTATTAAAAAAATAAAAAAAGAATCACTGTAGTATAAAAAGGAATGGCCTTAGGCCGAGCAGCTCCTGGTGCATCATCAGAGATGCTCAAATAGGAAATTGATCTCTTATCATGTAGCTAGTTCACCATCACTGAAGACTGGTGGGAATGTTGTAGAGGGGAGTCAGCAGATGGGACTTAGAGCAGGGCAGTACCCCAAGACATTGAACATTTATGACAGCTATGAAGCCAAGGGACCCATCCCTGGTAATTTGCACTTAATAGCTCTGGGAAGGGTCTGGTTTTCTGTACTGGTAGCAAGCACCTACCAGTGATCCTGATGTGGACATTGCTCAGAGTGGTGTTTGGCGTTCACTAGACTAGGTTCATCTATATGATCTTGCCCCTCTTGATGGTCTGTAATTCTGTGAAACTCCATAGGCAGAAGGGAACCACCAAGATTTCTGAGCAATTGTGATAGGAGCTGTTTTTTTGAAAGGTCAGTACTGCTGCAGTGTGCAGGAGTGACTGGGGCGGGTAGAGGCAGGGGACCAGGAAATCATTGTGTTGGGAATGAAATCATGTAGGTCTTGAGAGCCTGAACTAAGCTGGTGTCAGTGGCAAGGAAAAGGCAGGGGGAATTGGGAAGGAAGTGAGAGGTTCTTATGGCCAAGGCCTACTTCTGCAAAGAACTATGTCCCAAGATATAGAATATTAATCTACTGAAAGGGTTTTGAAACACAGCCTATTCAAAACCCAAGGCAGGTGAGAGGTGGGAGCGAGAGACAGAAATTTCCACGTCACCTAGGTACTAAAGAAGTGGACAGCCGTGAGACAGAGAGGAGGTCGCCCGGGGAGTGGGTGTGGCTAGACAAGAGAGGTGGACAGAGCACTGAGCCCTGAACACATAGGCCTTCAGGGGACACTGAGGGGAAGTGGGTCCGGGATAGTGATCCAAGAGGAATATCAGAAGAGTTTGATGCAAGCGAAAGCATGAGTGAGGGAGGGAGCTAGCAAATGAATGAAAACAAATGAGAACAAACCAGGGCTTTTGAACTTTGCGGACCCCACCTTTACGATTTGAAACGTTCTGCATCATGTGGATGGCCTTGCTGATGTGGCTTTACAAAATGATCTCCTAGGCTGGACCCTTCAACCTCCTTATGAGGCTTAGTGCAGGACACTCTTTTGGGCAAATATTAGTAACTGATTATCTAAAGGCCATGGAGACATGCGTGGTCCATGGGATTATACAGCAACATCTTCTCTAGGAACTAGAAGCATCATTTATTCATGCCTTCCAGGCATTCTGTGCTCAGGCTTGCCAAATGAAAAAATTTGAATAGGATAATTCCACTTATAAGATATGACTCTGACATAGGGCCCCCAACTTTAACTCAACAGGCCATTTGCCCACTGGGCATCCTTAGGATTCATGTGTGCCCTAGAGCTGCCAGAAGCTGGCTCCATTGATGGGGCCAAGATCTTTCTGAAATTGGGGAAAAGAAGTAAAGGATTTTGTGAGCTTTATATTGCTGACAAGAAATCATATACAATTAAAACATCAAGAACGCTCTGTCAATAATTTTGGAAGAGCCAGCGATACATGACTTTGGCCAAGATTTTATTAGTGTTGGAGAAGAGCCAAATGCCAGAAAAAAATGGTAGAACTTGTTTACTTTTGACCACTTTGAGATCCTGGCCATTTGCTTGGTGTCACATACATCAAGAAGAATGCATGCAATTCATATCAATGGCAAATTGTAGCCTAAAATGGCTAGTTAAGTGTTCCTGAGGACTATTGGCCAGAGTTCTTATGGAAAGTCTTAATACTTATGTTCTCTTTTATCCCCCCAATTATGAGGACTAGATCAGCCATTATAAATAATTTTATATTTTGCATTTTCTTATGAAATGCAAATTTATGACCATTTTATATTGATTTGGGAGTAATCCTAGAACCTGTGGCCTTGCTTTGGACCCAGACTGCTTTTTGGTTATAAGCATTACCTGTAAGCCCAGGTCCACCAAAGGAGTTTCCCTTCCCCTGAGATGAGCACTATGACACTGTAAACACTGAACCCTACCCATCAAAGTCCAAGGCACCTTTGTATACCTCCTATTCTGGGTTGGGGGGAGGTATAGGGACTTGACCTAGTCTAATCATGTGATCTCAGTTGGATTCATTCATTCTCCTGCAACACCTGCCAATGTGCTGCCCGCCCCCCAGCATTTACCTCTTCAGGTTTCAAAAGAAAGTGACCGTTAACCCACTTTTTTGCCTCTTTCTTCTTCAAAGCCCCCTTCCTCCCTGACTGAGGTATTTTATCATATAATAAGCCTCACCAACAGGGTCCAGATGCCTTTGGGCATCCATGAGCAAACTCTTTCCTTCCAGACAAGAATATGAATGGGGAAGTTTGCCCTGCTTCTCTTCCCTGCCTCACTATACACCTGTGAATGGGTGAGACCTGCAGGGGACAGGTCAGGGTTGTCAAGAGGATGGTACGACCTTTGGATCTTTGGCACACAGAAGAGGCCCCCATAAAATGTTTCTCCTTGGTGGCTAAGACCATCATGGATAGCCTCATCCCAGAAAATAGTGCTGATTATATGGCTATACAGAGAAATGGAGACATCCAGGTATGTCTTTGGCAAGTGATAGAAATGAGTGAGATATACCAGCGAAGTGCTTCTGATCACCTTCCAGTTCAGCCAATTTGAGAAAAGCCAGAGGCCGTAAGCCGGGTTGGAATAGAATGCTAATGAGAAGTAAAATCAAGAGGTCAGACATTTTTATGACTTTCTAAAGCACCAAACTGAATAATGAGGAAGTGAGAACATTTAAGGACAGTTAATACACCGAATGCAAATGGGTTCCTTATGCCCCTTATTTAAGGGCATATGTAACTGATTTTCAGTAGCATACTGAAGAAAGCAGGAAAAGCTAGAGAGGCAGGTGGCGGTTCTTTACACACAGGTCCTGAAGCAGCTGTGTCACTTTGGAAGCGATGTTACATTTTGCCGGACATTAGTTATGTCCTTGACGAGTGATGGTGGTTCTACACAGAGTTGTG